TCCACCAAGAACTTTATTGATGATGGGGAGGAGGAGGTTGGCCAAGGGGGACGACGTTTTGCTTTCTTGGCCCTGGTCCCAGTGTCTGCCTGTTTTCTTCTGGCTGTGCCCTGGCTCCTGGTGCCACCACCACTTTTCCCAATAGCTCATGCCTAGGCTGGCTTCAGAGTGGACATTGTCACATAGGCCTTTAATTCACTGGTGCCAGCAGAAGCAGGCATCCAGAAGAGCTAATCCGGGCCTCAAAATGGATGCTTTGTGTAACGTGGGTGCTGCTCTGTGGGAAAGACAAGGGACTAGGGCTCCCTTCTCTCCCCAAGGAGGCCTCCCCACCATTTGGATTGGCGCACAGCATCTACATTCTACAGGAGTGCTTCGTTCTGTGTCCCTGAACAAGAACTCAGCATTATTCCTAGATAGCATTTACAAAATTTGTTGCTCTTCCTGGACCCTCCAGCTTTAGGACTACATAGACTGGGAATCACTACAAAGAGTTAATAAAACTCTGTGTCTGATGCTTAAATTAAACCCTCAGGCTAATGTCAAAGGATACATTCTGAAGAGCCTGCCCTGAACTCTGAACTTTGGGTATTTGCTTAAGGAAAGAGAAAATCTCACTTTAATGAGAATTACAAGTGGAAGCAGGGTTATTTCTTCATGTGATGGATACGTTTACAGTTTGACTGTTGGGAGTCTCCAACTTTTTTGCCAAAGATTGTGGACATTTCTTATTTCTCAATGCAGAGAGTATAGTAAAATGTTTGGCATACATTCCCTAGGAAACTTTGTGCGGGAGGAAAATGAACAAAAGCTATTCCCTTCCTAGGGCCTCTCCTTTTTTTTCCCCTCCTTTCCGTTTTCCTCTCTTAAAACATTTGGCCAGAGGAGCCTGCTTCTCTGGGATGGTGTGAACGGTCCAACTCCACGCCAATTTGCTGAGTATCAGCTTTCCAGGTGGTATGAGAGCCGGGATATCTATCAGGCGCCTGGGTAACTTGCCTACCTTTGAACCACTTAAACCTTGGTGGTGCTGAAGCATTGTTTTTAATTAGCAAGCTTTATTTTTAACCAGAGTGGAGCAGACTTTTATCTCCCAGGCAGGATGTGTGTGGTTTGGGTCTGACATCCATGGAAGCACATGATGCTTGCTAAGCGCTGGAGCCTTGGTTATGATTCATTGGGGAGAAACATGGAAAACAATGTCTGTTTTTGAGTCCTGGGAACTGGGAAAATGAAGTGGAGATGTGAGCAATGTATAATTTTGCTAAAATTAACCTGTGAGCCCTTTGGATTACTTTCTTTTTCAGTGTTGTGTCCATCCCTTATTGGCCCTACAATGGCGTTGCTCTTTGTTTTAGCTCGTGCCATTGGCTTTTTGTTCTTGCCATATTCTGGCATTGTTTAGCAGACTGTCTCTAGTCTTTGCAGGTACGCATTTATTGCTGTCCACGTACTTCCCGAACTTGACGTTGGCAGAATTTGGCCACCGAAATCCATGAATCCACTTCCTGCTTGTAGAAAGTTTCTCTCGGGGAAACATGCCACTCACACACTGTGGCTTAGATAGATTCTTTGGGGATTTTTTGGATCTCGGTTTTCTCTTTTATAAAAATACAGAAGTTGAGTTGACTGGTTGGCAAGGTCCTTTCCAGCCCCAGGATTCCAAGTGATCTAAGTTTCTACCAAGGGGCATTGCCCAGAGGGAAAAAAACAAACCAAAACATTATTTTCGCAGGAAAAACATTTTGCTCTTTCTTTCAAAAATGAAAGTGGACATATGTAGTGCCGGGGAAGCATGTGTACTCACGTAGCTCCTTCCCGCATCAATGGATTTTGTGTTTCAGAGTAAGTACTGTAGTACAGTAGAAGCCGGTTTATCTGGTGTTCTGTCAGTCAGCATACCATTCACAGGCACTTCTGCACATCTGCTCGACAGTGATCATTGATGTTTATGATGAGACCCCTGAGGCACCATAGAGCCATCCTGTCATGCCTTCTGAACCATCAAAGAAAGATTAAATCATATCCATATATTTTCATTGTTAAATGCTTTTTTTTTAATACCATTCAGATTCTTTGAAAATGTCTATATAATGAGGTCTGTTAACTCTTGCAGTCAGAGTATTTGAATAATTGGAAGTCTCCACTCCCAGCCATAGGCCCATATAATTTAGAGTCCAACTGGATGAGGAGAGTGAGACCCAGGAAGGGGAAGTGACTTATCTAAAGCTACAAAAGCAGAGCCAAGATTTAAACCTAGAACCTCTGTACTTGTGCTTGTTCTAAAAAAACCATCTTGACTCTGTGCTGGGTAAAAGATTAGGCCATAAGCCTAAAGTGCTGTTGAACTATCTCTTGGGATTTATAGTGTAAGAATCACCAATCTATAGTTAGTACCAGCCTCCCCTCCCTCACACCCCCCATTTCCTAGTCTAATTCCAGAAAATAAAGAGAAAACAATATAAATAGCAATGGTATGTATGTGTGTCACTGGGAGAGAATGTGGGGTTTAATGGCTAGAAGATTACATAGCGTTAGTGAAAACCAGGAAATGAATGGATTCAGCCTGTGTGGATAATTCCCACTCAGGCTCTACTGGTTTATTTACAAAGAGATCTTACCACATGGAAATGCTATTAAAAAAAAAACTTAACAATAATATTAAGATAATAATAAACCAGCATTTCTATAGCACCTTGAGTTTTGCAAAAATACTTTATATATATTAACTATCTGCATAGCAAGCATGGGAAGGTAGTTATTATCATCCCCAATCCCTTCCATATGCTTTTGAGTTTAAAATTTTTCTCCCCCTTCCTCCCTACCACTCTCCCCAAGATGGCACACAATCTGATATAGGCTATACATATACATTCCTATTAAACATATTTTCACATTAGTGTTGTTGTAAGTAAGAATTAGAACCAATAGGAGGAACCATCAGAAAGAGGAAACAAAACACAACAGAAGAAAAAGAAAAGCAAATAGTATGCTTCCATCCACATTCAAACTCCATAGTTCTTTCTTCTTTGTGGATAGCATTTTCCATCACGAGGCCTTTGGAGATGTCTTAGATTCTTGTATTGCCAGGAAGGGTTAAGTTTATCAATATTAGTCATCACACAACGTGGCTGTTACTGTGTACAACGTTCTCTTGGTTCTGCTCACTTTACTCCACATCAGACCATACAAGTCTTTCCAGGTTTTTCTGAAGTCAGCCTGTTCACCATTTCTTATAGCACAATAGTATTCCATTACATTCATCTGCCACAACTTGCTCAGCCATTCCCCAATTGATGGGCATCCTCTCAATTTCCAATTCTTTGCCACCACAAAAAGAGCTACCATAAATATTTTTGTACTTGTGGGTCCTTTTCCCATTTGTATGTCATCCCCATTTTACAGATGAGGACATATTCATAGACTTAGAGCTCATAAGTGTCTGAGGCAGGATTCTCTCAAGTCCTGCATGCTATCTAGCTACCTCTGCTTTGCCATGGAGGAAGATGTGGTATTTTTCCCCTGGGGAGAAAAAAGAATAACCCAAATCCTACCTATTGTTCAAGGCCCAGCTTAAGCCATACTTAGTCCATGAAGCCCCACCTGACTGATCTATTCTTGATGGCTCTTCTGTACCCCTATAGCCCCTAGAATCTAGCTCTTATGCCTCCATCCTGAGTTAGGTAAGGCCCCCTGGTTGTTCACTTATTTATTATGTTGGTCTTGACTTGCCTGTTAGATCACTGACGTAGAACTCAAATAGAAACAGGGACTGCTTAACCATGGTAAGAATTCTTGCAGCTCCATGTTAACTTAGAAAACCTCATATTAACATTATGCTCTTTTGTATTTAGTTTGTTAGATATTTCCAAGTCCATGCTCTACGTGTTTGATAGCTCTGTGTTAGTTTGTAAGCTCCTTAAGGGAAAAAAGCCCAACTTAACATTTCTTCTGTATCCCCACATTCATCTCCTTCTTGTCTGAACTCCTAGAGTGCTTATAGTCCATACTATCTAATTCAGCACTTAATTATATCATCTTTTTTTTTAATTTGTGTATTAATCTTCTCTTCCTAATTAGGTTACAAAATCTGTCAGGGAACTATTTTATACTAATTTTGTCTTTCCACAGAGCTTTCACATTGGGGTTTGAATATATACGTACATATATATAGTGTGTATATATATATGTATATATATCCATATATTTTCAGTGTTAAATGAGTTTTGTTTTTTTTTTACTGTTCAGATTCTTTGAAATCTGGGCCTACACAGTGACAGTAAATATTTGTTGATTGACTTATTTGAAAAACAAGCTAACAAACATTCAATCTCTCACTTCATTGCCTGAAGGGAAGGGAATATAGCATGCTAGGAACTGTGCCAAACAAATAGTATCTCATTTGACCCTCACAATAACACTATGACATAAGTGCTCTTATTATCCCCACTTTACAGTTGAGGAGACTGAGGCAAGCAGTGTTTATGTGACTTGCCCAGTATCACACAGCTCGTGAGTGTGTGAGGCTGGATTTGAACTCAGGTCTTCCTGACTCTAGGCCCAGTGCTCTATCCTCTGAGTCACCTCGCTGCAGAATGAAGCATTCTTTTTTTTTTTTTTTTAAACCCAGCCAGTGTAGGAATTTGTTTTGCTTGATTATGCATATTTGTTATAATAGTTTGTTTTCCATTTATTCTTTCCCAATGGTGATTAGGAGAGAAATATACTCTTGTTCACTGAAAAAAAAGTTAATTAGAAAAAAATAAATGTGAATAAGATATTGCAGAAAGATTTCCATAAAAATTACTAAACCAACACAAAAAGTCAGGTTTTTGAATAAGACCGATTAACTGAGTTGCTTCTTCAGAGCCTATTAACAAAAGACTGTAAAGGTGATAACCTCTGGTGCCATTGTTCATATGTGTGAATGGTTCCTTTCATTATCGAAACGTTTGTAAGTGCCAACCGTTGACCTTCACGTGTTCATCTTTCCTTACCAGAAGCAAGAATGGGGATTGCCGGAAAGAACACCGGGAAAGAAGCCGCAGCCCCATTGAACGTGCTGTGGCTCCCACCATGAGTCTGCACGGCAGTCACATGTATGCCTCCATCCCCAGCATCACCATGGAGCAACCCCTTGCACTGACCAAAAACAGCATGGATGCCAGCAGAACAGTTGGCATCTCTCCAACATTGACCTCTGTGGAACGGCAGCAGGTATGTCCCTTAGGATGTGTTTCAAAACCTTATTCTGAGAAGAGGTCCATAGGCTTCTCCGGACACCCAAACAGGTCTAGGACACCCAAAAAGTTAGGAACTCTTGGAGGAGTGATGTTTATGATTCCTTCCAACTCATAACACTCTCTGGTCTGTGGAATTGGGGTTTTGCTTTCTGTTTGGGATGACATACTAAGAGTGGGAGTAGGGATAAGGCAGGGAGGATGGTGGCAATAACCATTAGATGTATGTAGGGTTGGGGCTTGATTGGATAGACTTAAAATTAAGATAGTTAACTCTGAATGTCCTGTTTCGGCAGTTGGGGAAATGGGATCATCAGAAACCCTTTATGTGTGAAACTGTTGTGTGGGCTTGGCCACTGATTCACTTTGTAACCTTGGGCAATTTTTCTTAACTTCTTTGAGGCCTCAGTTTCCTCATTTGTACAATGATGAGATTGCACCTTGTTATCCCTTTTGGTTTTAAAAGTCTGGTTCAGGGGCAGCTAGGTGGTGCAGGGGCAGCTCAGTGGCGCAGTGGATAGAGCACTGGTCCTGAAGTCAGGAGGATCTGAGTTCAAATCCGGTCTCAGACCAAACACTTGACACGTACTAGCTGTGTGACCTTGGGCAAGTCACTTAACCCCTATTGCCTGACTTAAAAAAAAAAGTCTGGTTCGTCCTGCATCTCTTGAGGTGGAAGCAGGAGAGGAGGGAAGCTTTCAAGAAGCCATGCTTCAGAGGATGTTGTGAGTGGGAGGGAGGCCCATTAGCCTCCTGAGGTATTGTCCTCCTGAGGTTTTGTCCTCCTGAGGTTTTCATGGCCCAAGAGCCTGATGCAGTGTTCATGAGGGAGCTGTGGCAGATACACAGAGAGATAAGATGCATTGCTTTTCATTAAGAAGCTTTTGTGGAGTGTACATTGGCAGAGGTGTCCTCTCCTGTCCTGGGCCTCCGATCAACGAGCATTTATTAAGGACCTTCTAAGACTGGGTACCATGCAAAGCGCTGGGTAAAGCCATCTGCCCCCTGCTTGAGGTAGGAGATGGTAGCCAAGGGTACACAATTGACATTTTGCCAGAATGTTTCTTTTTCTTTTTTTCCCCCTTTTTAAAGAATTAAATATTCCAGCCATCCATCCTACAGATGCTCCCCACTTGGACAAACTTTGGCTGTCTTAGCAGTGCTATAACCAGCTGACCTAATAGTGTGGGCTGACATCTTTGCATAGAGTCAACTTTTCCTTTCTGCTCAACTGTTGATTCATTGACAGCTGAGAAGGAAAAATCCAGCTTTCCATTTCATCCCTGGTGTCGTGTGATAGTGGAGCTGCCAGCCCTGACCCAGTTATACAGTTCTCTAGGTATTTTCCTAACCTGCCTCTCCCCGACCTTTAGCCCCTCCGTGTTTGTCTATTTCCAGGGGTTTGTCTTGATTTCATTTGTTTGACTTAAGTATTTCCTATGGCTGTTTGGCTAAAGTAGAAATTTAGCAAGAAATGATATAGGCATTGGGGAAACTGCTAGAGAGCAGTAGTTTTGTGGCCAGGATTTCAGCCACCCATTAGTGGGTCAGGGAAGACAGGCAGTGTTGAAGGAGGGCCCAAAGGGGCTGACAGTGAACTCCCTTTACAGCATGGGAATTATAAGTGTTTAAACAAAGTGGGATAGGCAGATAGGCAAGGTGCTTGAACAGTGAGGTCAAAGTGTATTAGGGAAGGTGACATAGTTATCTCACATTCTTATGAATAGTAGCTAGTTGGGAGCATATGCTGAACCTAGCACAATATGCCGAGAATATTACTAGCTGTGTGACCCTGGGTAAGTCACTTAACTCCAATTGCCTTGCCAAAAAAAAAAAAAAGCTAAATCAAGAAGGGAGCTAGTCTTGATGGGACAGAGGGGCAGAAAAATATGATTTTACCAATAAAAAAATGTGCCAAGAATAAATACCAGGAGGGGAGGCTTTGAAGACACCATTAATGAAGATGAGGCTTAGTAAAAGTCTAGGTTTTAGAAACATGAGGAAGAAGTAACAGTGGGAGATGCCATTCATTGCTTTTTTTTTAAGGCCACCTGGATTAGAAGTCCATGCAAAGAAGCCGTCTGGGATGGAAATAACATTGGGAGCCATGTGACCTTAGGCCATTGACTTGATCTGTGTGGGCCTCCATTTCCTTATCTGTAAAAGGAGGTTTGACTAGATACTCATAGAATGTAAGATCCTTTGCGCTGTTAGAGACCTTAGGGATTTATTTTCTAGTCTGATCTCACTTCCCCCAGTCTCCCCACCCCCCTCATCTTATTTCTGACATTTTAGGATTCCAAATGAGCCATGTTTTCAGTGGCAGTGGAAGTGTGAAGTGTGTGTGCGTGCATGTGTGCAGGCTGTGCTAGGGTTCTCTACCTCTCTTCTTGCCCTGCCAAACCAAGAGAACATCATAGGGTTGGAAGGTTACTGGAGAGCATTGCCAGTCTGTGCCCCACAGAGAGCAATCTGGAGAATGACACTGGAAAGTGAGTCAGGTTATTATCAGCCCTGTAGGCTTTGCTTTTAGAGGAGAGGATTTCACAAGCAGGAAGGCAGACCATTTTTTAAAAGAACATAAACAATTCTGATGGTAAATCACGTTATAACCAAGCGCAGACTCAGCTCAAATATTGACCAGGGGCCAGCCACTGGCAGCAGTGTGGTCTTTTCCTTTCTGGACAAGGCCCCATTTTGAATTCTACAAAATATCCATCTTTTCTGAACCCACGAAAGGAGATGGATGGCACAGCCCCCAAATGAACACAAATTGGAACTTAGAGAGTTCTGTTCAACCCCATCAACATTTCAGATTCATTCCCCTTCCCATAATGGGATTTGTACTGATCCATCTGTCCTCATTCCTTTCTTTGACTTCTTTTTGATGTGTCCTTGGGTAAGCACCTGGATCTTATTTTCTTCTTTAGAATGAAGTGGTTGGAGTAGATGATCTCCAAGGCCTTTCTGCCTCTAAAGCTATGACCCCCATGAACGTGCCTCTTGCACTGTAACTGTGCACACACCTACTGTATACATGTGCACCTCGTAGCTTGGCATGACTGATACCGTTTTAGTTGGGCGGGATTGATGTAAGAGTGTGGATACATGCATGTACAGGCAGGTGTGCACGCACACATTTATCTTTGACATATGCTATGTATTTCAACACAGTTGACTAAGCAGTGAATCCCTGTACATCCAAACTCCATTCCAGGTTGGCGCCAGTTTTTACGGGGGAGGCACCAGTATAACCCAGGGCCCACAGAGCAGGGATTCCTGTTTCAATGGCTTTTTGATTGGAGGCCTCTCTCCGTACCCCTTTCCCCACACAGGAACCCCCACCCCCCACAGAAGGCTCCCAGAGAAAGTTGTGGACATTTCTTTTGGGGGTTATTGTGACAGCAGGAGAAATTTTGACTTGGCCAGGCTACATTGATGGGGAGGACTTCTGACAGAGGAGAGATGGCCCAGAAGGGATTAGTATTTTGTAGAATCCAAAGTGGGGCAGAGAGAAGAAGCTTGAGCTGTTAAGAGCGGCCCCCTGGCCAGGTCCTGAGTGTGTTGTGTACAATCACCGCCTCCTTCCTGAAGCACTTGGGTTCTTCTCTGAACTTGCCCAAGCCATGACTTGTTCAGCCCAAGGTTTCAGCTGGGGATGTAAAAATACTTTTTAAAAAAGCCTCCATTTTTGCTCTTGGAGAAGAGAATGTTGTTCTCTGGTTTTGTAAAGTGGTGGGTGGATCAGAGGAAAGGCAATGCTAACAGCTAGTTAGTTCAACTAGAGAAACATTGATTAATAGCTAACTATGTAGAGTGCATTGGACTGGGAATAAAATGATTTAAATAAGAGATTTAAAACTAGCCCCTACCCTTTAGAAGCTATAATGATGATGATGATGATGATGATGATACTAGCTAGTATTTGTGTAGAGCTTTGAGGTTCGCAAAATGCTTTACAAATATTGTCTTAGTTTATTTTTTCAACACCCCTGGGAAGAAGGTGCAATTATAATCTCCATTTTACAGAAGAGGAAACTGAGGCCTAGAAAGATCAAGCAACTTGCTCAGGGTCACACAGCTAGTAAGTGTGTAAGGCAGAATTTGAACTCAGGTCTTCCTTCACACCATGTCGAGCCCTGTATCCACTGTGCCCCACTCTCACCTTTGGCCAGACCTGAGAGCCAGAGTCAAACCAACCATCTTTTCCCCTAATTTCTTGTGACGTACATCACACATCAGCTTAGATGGGAACAGGGTTTATTTCAGGTAGCTCCTTTTGAGGGAAGGAGGGGAGAAGGAACTATTGAGTTGCCAGCAGTTTTGCAAGTGAACTAAACTTTTGTCCTTTCTTGCCGTGTCCTTAGAACCGCCCCTCAGTGATCACCTGTGCCTCTGCAAGCAATCGTAACTGTAACCTCTCCCACTGCCCCATCGCCCACAGTGGGTGTGTCTCATCTACATCAGCAAACTACAGGCGGCCTCCAAGTAGTAAGTGAACTCTGTCTTCCTCCCCCATCACTTTGAAAGAAAAACAGATCGTGGGGAAACCCTGTTGATTCAAAAAGTGCTGTTAACTCTGTTTATAAATTATAACTCTTAACAAAAGTTTTTAAAAATTTGTTAGTCACCACTCCCTTTGCTGTTCAGACCAGGAATAATTTGAATAGATGACAAGAAGCCTCCTTCATCTTTCATCACCACTGAGTATTTATTTCACGTTTTCCATATTTCTATTCCAAAAAAAAAATTTATTGATATTTTGTTTTGACACAACAGATACTTCCCAACAAACTTTCCCACTCAGTACATCCTCTGAGACCTACTGTGGAAGGCTGCCTAGTCTGGGGGTTGGGACTGAGATCTGTCACTCGTCAAGTCTATAGTTTACCAACTTTTAATAGAAGGGCTATCTATGTGCCTTAATGTAAGGAGTGGTCTCAACCTTGTGTATTCTACTCTCCATGGATGTTTTTGCCAGCAAGTTTTCATTTAGTACATCCAGTGTGCATGACTTCAGTGAACTTTCAAGCTGATTGGAAAGCTAGGGTATAGGCACATGAGACAATTAATAAGTGTAGGAAGATAGTAAACAATGAGGTGTTCAGCTGTGTGGTGTAGGATGTTAAGTACTGTGGTCGGTCAGAGGAAGAGGTGTGGGGGGAAGATGAGGAGGGAGGTGAGAAGTGTAGAGTATGTGGTCCTGTCCTCTGAAATTTTATAGTCTTAATCCAGGGGCAATAGAAGTACATAAAAATACACACAATTGTCAGATGAAGGCTAAAGATTTAGAAGTCCAAGGGCTCAGGACTCCATAGTCAAGGTCTTTTTCCTGTGTTTTGGGCTCCTCCCTCTGTGGAGGAGACTTTAGGGTTAATTTGCCATTACCTGAAGGTCAGCTTGGTAAAAGAGTGTGACCTTCCAGTAGGCAAGTGGAGGCCAGAATTCCTGCTTTAATGACACGGAGGAAATGTGGGTTGAGGGACATGGGGTGGGGTGTGTGCTGGAGCCCTCAGCTGGGCTTAGCACGCCTGTGTTCTGAACACGTTCTGCCTGGCCTTCCTTCTAGCTGCCACCACCTGTGACCCCGTGGTAGAGGAACACTTCCGTCGGAGCCTCGGCAAGAACTACAAGGAGCCAGAGCCTGTGGCAAACTCTGTGTCCATCACGGGGTCAGTGGACGACCACTTTGCCAAAGCGCTGGGCGACACGTGGTTGCAGATCAAGGCTGCCAAGGATGGGGCTTCTAGCAGTCCTGAGTCAGCTTCCAGGAGGGGCCAGCCATCCAGCCCGTCTTCCCACATGGTCAATCACAATCATTCCCCCTCTGTTGTCTCATGAAGAGAGGACCGCCAACACCTCCTCTGTTGGAGAACAAGTGAATCTGCATGGTTTGCCTGAGCTTTGAACCGTCAATGCTTAAATGGAAAATGGTGTGGGGGTGGGGTAGGTGATGGGGTGGGGGGTGGGAAAAGGTTAGTTTGCAACGTCTTTTTTTTTTTTTTTTTTTGTACTCGCTTGGTATTTGTACAAGGGTGCCCTCAAACATGATAGCAGGAACTATGTGTGAAACATCTGTATAATGTAGCATCCTTACTTCCTGCCTCAGTTACCAAAGAAACCTCTGATGCAGGTCTGCTGACCCTCTTAACAGAACCGAAATCTGCAATGCGCACGCGCGGCTCGCTAGCTGGCTCGCTCACTGAAAGCCATTAGGACAGGTGGTTGACCCAAAATGCTTTGTGCTTTCAATTAGCTCCTTGAGACGAGACTTGTTGTGGTTTGCTTCCATTGCTTCTATTTCTTTGTTCAGTCATTTTGTATGTATATACTTGAAAAGAATTGTCACGTATGATTTGCACTATTGGAGGACGATTAGTTGCCTGGCAACTTCTTTAGGCAAGATGCTAGTATTTCGAGGGCAAACTGCTGAAAAAAAAAAAGGGTTTAAGAATGACATTTCTGTCCATTTATGTGTGTAATTTTTTTTTTAACAAAACCGCTTGGAAGGGGAAGTCTCATACAGGTTATAGGTCTTTCTCTCTTTAGATTTCAGGTGCTTAGTGCTTGCAACTGGACTGCATTACTCAACCGAACACGGGCATTTTATTTTTTTTTTTTTCTAAACACTGCAGTTTGTTAGAATAGAGCTGAGGTTGGTGGGTTCAATAGTGCTTTAAAAGATGCATGTTTTATGAGAAAAAATAGCTGGTATCTATTAATGTATAGACAGTTTTAAAACCATAATACGTAACTAGCTTCTGTTCAGAATTAGTTTATTTTTGTCAGTTACAGTCCTAGGTATACTCACTGCTGGTACAGTTGTACGCTAAGATTTTTGTATTTGGTATTCACTTTACTCACAGCTGGCACCAGGCCTCCTGAGCAAAGCCGTTCAGTAGGTGATCGTCCAACTTACAGGATGCCCTAGGGTTGCCCAGGCCTGATTTCATCATTTATTTGTGCATCACTCTGTGCTTTCGACAGATTTGCTTCCTGAGGCTTCAGGATTTGTCCTCCAGCTCCCCCAGATGCAGAAACTGCTCCTTCGACTCTATTGGCTGAACACCAGATTACGGGCAATCTGTGAAGTGATGTTTTTAATGCTTACTCGTAAGCCTGGGCCAAGGCAGTGTACATTCCTCCATTAGAAGACTTTATACAGTTATTACTGCATTTATTATCATTTGCTATATTAATAGCTACTAACTAGAAATTAGGTAAAGAGGAAAGCATGGTGAACAACACGGCTGTGGAGGCCAGCAGCTTCTCTCTTTTTTTGTTTTATTATTATTAAATATGATCCCCCCTCCCCCTTCTCCCTCCTTTCCTTTGGATCTTTTCCCTTCCCCATGCTACATTCCAGCCTCCCCCCAGTACAGTTACATCAAGAACTTTGGATACTGGGTCACCTGGCCAGACCCTGGGCCCTCTAGGAAATTGCTGCTGAGTTGGGTGGTCACAGCGCTTTTTGGGGGGCCGTTGTTACTTGTTTTCAGTTTGAGAAGCTTGAAGTTGAGCTGTTTAATTTGGAAAAGGTGCAGGGTGGGATGATAAGAGGCTTGGCTCTCACTTGTATTTATATAGGGTGGCTGCTGAGGTGGGGTCTTTTTTGTCGTTGTTATTGCTGGGTTTTGTTTTTTAAAGAGAAAGTCTCTCTCTCTCTCTCTCTGCACCCTCCCCTCTCCCCCCCATACATTTCACTACCATCTTTCTGGTAGTCCATGCTTCCTTGCTTTGGCATTCAGGCCCCTACTCTCTGTAGGAAAACTGTTTGAGAATACTTTTTTTTTATATAGGGAACTTTAAGACCATCATTACGCTGTGCGTAAAGAATGTACAGAGAAATTTGTAGGTATTTTTTGAGGAACAATTAATTTGTTAATGATATGTAGCTATTTAATTTTTCCCTTTCCTATTGTAATCATTCATTTTTTTTGTTTGGAGAAAAAAGTTGATCTTTTTTTGTTTTAGAGTTGTCTGTGATACAGTAAAAGTGCAGGAACACAGTTATTCTATGAGAACACTGCATTTGCATTCTAGCCACTAGTTTGTTATCGCTGCAGGCTACTGAGTGTTGTAATAGGAAAATACTAACACTGTAGATGGACTCCGTGGACAGTGTGACTCCTAATGACATTTCTTGAACAACGTGGTGAAGACAGTCCTCATTCTATGTATTGGGAAAGCAAACAGTGTCTATTAACAGCTGGGTCCCTGGGGGCGCTGACTTATCTGCGATAGGTCAAGATAGAAGTGGGTGGGACGGGACAGAGGGAGCTTGGGGAGAGGGGAACCAAACATTTCATGGGGAAGGAATGAGCTCCCTGATCGAAAAAAAGCACAGTGAAGTTTCTTCACCAAGCTGAGCTATCTGCAGTTCATTCTGAACCATTCTCTCCATGTTTGTATATCTGTAATATACCATTCTCTGTGGCCTGTTTCACCTGGATGAAGAAGAAAAAAAAAAGGTTTGGCAGGCCATCTTTTTTTGTACTTAAAAGTAGCCTTAAAGAACAATAAAGTGCTCTTAAAACCACATGCTTTTTTCCGACCGTTTTTGCTTGAAGTTGCTGCTGGGGATGGGGAGAGATGATGGGGCCTGCCATGGGGCCAGCAAGGGTACATCTCTCGCTGTTGGGGGAAGGCTGCCGGAGGATCTGGATGTGTGAACATCCATCTAACTCTGATAGCTATCATAGCTGCCACGAAACAGGTAGAGGAGCTGGCCCACAGGCAAGGCTCTGCTTCCGAGAGAGGGCACACCCCAGCATTCAGGCTTGGAACCACCCTCGAGTTTTAACACCCCACATAGCCATCCAAGGCAATGGTACCAGGAAGGATATGGGTCAATCAGACGAGAGAACCTTAAACTGCTATAGAAATGCTAGTGACTCCTAGTGCTGTTGGGCGCTGGGTGGTAAAGTGGGTAGAATGCTGGAGTCAGGAAGACCTGAGATTTACTACTGAAGCTACTAGTGTAACTCTGGGGCAGCTGGGTGGCACAGCAGGCAGAGCATGGGGCCTGGGGTCAGAAAGACCTGAGTTCAAATAGGACCTCAGACACTTACTAGCTGTGTGACCCTGGGCAAGTTACTTAACCCTGTTTGCCTCAATTTCCTCATCTGTACAATGAGCTGGAGAAGGAAATGGCAAACCACCCCAGTATCTCTGCCAAGAAAACCCCAAATGGGGTCACAGAGGGTTGGACGTGACTGAAACAACTCACAACTTTGCTATTTATTGTAAGCAGAGCCTCCAGCTGGAACTAGACGTTCTTAGGTCCGGGGTCCATGAACTTGGGTTTTTTTTTAATGTTTTGATAGCTGTATTTCAGTAGAATTGGTCTCCTTTTTATGCATTTGAAAGTCTTCTAAGGTTTGTTGGCCTCACCAGACTGCCAGAGGGGTCCATGACACACCCAAAAAAGACAAAGAATCCCTCCCTCATTCCTCACTCAGGCTCCAAACCCTTGTTCTCGTGGCCCAGACCAAAGGCTTGGGAGGGAGGCCCGGGGCACTCATTTACCCAGCACTCCGCCCATGCCAAGCGCTGGGCTAAGTGATGGATTCACAAACGCAGCACAATGGAACTTCAGCTGGCTGCACAACCATGCCAAGGGTGCTCCCATCACCAGTTCCCCAGGTGTGATCGTTGTGGTCTCAGACATGATGGCAGCATGCATCAGTGTCCTGAATTTTCCCCTCTAAAAAGAATTTTGATACTTTGCTACTTTGCAGCAGCCAATATGATCTTCCCATTAAGAAAAGCAAAACCATGTAATGTGTCAACGGTATTTGATTTGTGCTGACTTAGTATAAGTAGCGCTAACCCATAAGAAAAACCATCCACTGACTGTCCCTCCCCTGGGGGGCTCCCACATACTGTCCGCCAGCCTCCTCCCAGTTCACATGTGAACAAACACACCACGGACAGTGAGGCAGGAGTGTTTGCTTTAGGTCCCAGGGACACAAGACTCCTCAGGTGGGGAGTATGACATGGAGATCTACATGAGGTGCCTAAGAAAGCTGCTGTCTGACGGTACCAGAGAGGTCCTCCCACTAGAATAAAGGCAAGCAAAGATCAGAGCCATCTCTCACTTCTAAAATGAAAGCTTTTTTTTTTTTTTTAAATGAAATTACCATGCCTTATGGGCCACAGCAGTGTGACTGAGGTTCTAGCAAAGATAATATCCTGGTGTTCAGTTTGGCCCATGGCAGTCAGAGGGCCAAGCCTGGACAGAACCAGCTGGATCAGCCAGGGCCAACTACAGCCGGGCTGAGCTCTGTGGACACCAGAGGTGCAGGCCTCCTTAGGGCATATTCTCCCTTGGGGCCTCTGACTTATTACCAGGCCTCCAGCCAACCAGGACAATGACATTCCTCTGTCTTCCATGGAACACACTGGGCTTCTCTGTTGACTGGCTGCTCCTAAGAGTTCCTTTGTCTCTGCATTGAACTGTTTCCAGAATCATTTTCCTAAGAGCATTATAGAGTTAGACCCTGCCCATGCCTAGATCCAAGATCATATAGAACAACCGGGCCCATAGGGTTGCCAAGGGTCTTTTGACCACTACCATCATCATTTAAAACACTGCATGGAGGATAGAGGGCCTGGGTTTCCCGGTTCAGTCACTGGGTCCCTACTGATGTCCTGATCTCTGGCAAACCCTTGGATGTGATCCACAAAGAATGATAAGCACATTATGCTGAACAACTCTATGACCTGGATGAATGGCGAATGAGCATCGAATATCGCGGTTAATGTTTGCCAGCAGGTTAACGTCTGTTCTGGAGTACCTGGCTAGTGCTTGATGGAAACCAAAAGGCAAGAAAACCCCACCTCCCCAACATGAGTTTGAACATGCCAGGTGGCAGCCGGGTGGTATGTTGGGTAGCCTGCTGGGCCTGGAGTCAGGAAGAGTTCAGAATTCCTAGTTGTGTCACCCTGGGCAAGTCACTGTTGCGTGCCTCAGTTTCTTCAGTTGTTAAATGGGGATAATAACAGTTTCTACCTCCCAGGGTGGTTGGGGGGGTCAAATGAGATATCTCAAAAGTGCATAGCACTACAGCACTATCAACCTGGCAGATAATGGCACTTAATCAATGCTTATTCTCTTCCCACTCCTGAAAGACATAATTGTAACACCAGTCACACTGTCTTTGCTTTCCTTTATCATGCATGCTGTGATGTAGGGCTGGGGCTGCGGGGTGTGGGAGAGGTCATTCTTGGAGCAGGTTGGTTTCCTGGGGCCCTAAAGGATGGGCCTCATTGTCGGCCCAGGGCAGGAAGCCACATGCAGCTCATCGCAAGAAGGCTCAGTCTGGTGACTGTCATTTGAAAACACTCTCAAAGAGAAGGCTCCATCTTGTATTTGTATCACCCCAACTCCTTTATACGCCCTGGCAGAGCTCCCTGGCTGGCGCCAGGTGCCGGCATTATCAGAACTGCTCTGTGTCAAAACAAAAGCTAACCCTTGCGGCTGACCTCAAGATTCATCACATGAGAGTCTCCTTTGGGCAGAAATGTGCCACGTCTGGGGCCTGGGAACTTTCTGAGACTTTCCTTTTCCCCTTCCCTGGTCCTTTGCCACTGTCTCCTCTTTGCTTGCAGGGGCATAACCTGCAGAGTGGGCTCACTTAGCCTCATCCCAGGGGTCATACAGTCCAACCACAAATTCATACGTGTGGCAAGGGGGGAGGCCCATTTCAGAGGTGTCTAATCCTTCTGAAGCAGCCATCTTAACCAAGACACGGCTTCTTAAGAGCATGTGATGTTGCAGCTTCTGGCCAGGACAGGCCGCAGACGTGGAGCCAGGAGATGGAAGGGAAGTGGGTAGCTATGGCAGAAGAGTCTCCACTCTCCCTAGAGAAGGTCAGGGTGTGTGAAGACGAATCTGTGGATTGGAAAGGGAGTGGCAGGTAGGTAGTGACTTGGAATCTGGGGAGCTGACCCCCAAAAGCCAGAAAGGATACATGGAAACTCATAGACTACAAGGGATGCCAAGAGATGGACACAGATATTCAGCTGGCAGGAAGAGCTAAAAACAGAAAATAGCCTCAAATTCATCAATGAAACCAACACACACCACAGTGTTCTATGGACTCTGTTTATTCCCTGTTTTCACCCATTCATCTGGCTTTCATCGTACTGGATGGCATTCCCCGGCCCCTTCTCACCTCCATCCCATTCTTTACCCTGTGCCAGGGTAAGCTGCTTCTCTGGACACAGATATAGACGATAAAATAATCAAGAGTTGACCTCCGTGGAGTTCTCTCCATGAGTGAGCCCGCCTGCAGGGCAGGGGCCCAAGGCTTGTTAAACTGGCCCACCAGGCTCTGGAAACAAAGACTGTTGGGGCTGGAAGGGACCTCAGAACTGCATCACCAAGCCCGGCCCCTTCGTTTCACAGATTAGGAGATAGCGATGACCTGCCTATGATCGCAGAGCTTGCCGGCGAGGACTCTGCTATGTAACGTCCACAGGTTCCTCTCTGGCCTTTCCTGTCTTGCAGTCCAGGTAGGAGAGCAGAGCAGATCAAAGGTTTGGGACAGCACCTATGGGAACTGGCTTGCTGTTGGCAAGCTTGTAGCTGAGCCAGGCTCAAGATACTGGCAGAAATGGCTTTCCATCCCTGTCTCTGCCCTCGTAGGGCATTGTGGGTACTGTGCCATGCACACCAGCAGAGGTGAGGGGATGAGAAGGCCCTATGGGGGAAAATGTTATTGCTGTGCTTTTGACCCAGAGTGGGGTCTGAGGGGCCTCTGGGAAAGACCTGTAATCTCCTTTAACACAAGCACTTGGTTCTGGGCACCTAAAGCCAAACCCATAGGGTCTGGGAGAACACTAGAATTCCTGGTCCAAGAGGAGACGAAGATAGGATGGGCTTCTCACCCTCCTCCTGGCTTGTTGACAGGGCTTTTCCCACACTCGGGTATTCTAGAAGGAACAGGAGCATGGTGTGAACATTCCTTTCCCAATAGGCATCATGGACACCCTAGGTTAAAAGGAAGGAATGAGAAGGAGGCAGGGACATTTTGGTTACAATAAGGAATGGCATGAAGCGAGGCATTCTTCTTTAAAAAGGGGTAACAATGCACATGGGCAGCTATTTATTTTCTCCTCCAGGACTTTTCTGAATGCTGTGAACCAGAAGCCATCAGACCACAGGACAGAGCTGTCTTCCTCCTGCAGAATACCTGGTTCTTCCTACCTGTGGGGGTAATCCCTGGTAGTTCGAATATCAAATATCTGCCAAGGTTAAGGAAAAGTGGGAGCTTGAGGGAAGGGTTCAAAGCCCTAAGCATGGAAATTCCAAAGCAAATCAGCCCAGGATTGATGGGAAAAGTAAGTAGAAAAATGAAAACTGTCAGTTACATAGAGTAGCTATGTATGTGAGCCATGAGTTCACAGCGCAGAATATACACGGTGAGCAAGCAAGATGGGGTATACAAAACCCCATCTACAAAGGAAGTGTAGATGCAGAGGTGAAGAGAATTATAGCTCCCAGAGCAGCCAGCTGGGCTTTCGGTCCCAAGGGTGAGTCGGCTTCTGGACACCAGCTGGGTCTGGGTAAGAAGCAGGCCAAGCGAGGAGATGGTGGCTGGTCACCTGGAGCTTGAGGCCACCAGGAATCGGTTCCTGCTTCAGATGGTGTCATCGTCACTCATGTCCCAGATCTGCAAGGAGAAGACAGCAGCCAAGTGTTACTCAGGCTGGGGGAACCGCTGTGTTCTAATTCAATTCAACAAGCCACAGTCTCTTTAGAAAAAGGTTAGCCTGAACAGGTTATAAAAGCACGGGGTTCAGAGAAGATGCCATACAACACTAAACTGAAAAAGGGCCAGGAGGGTGGCTGGGAGGAGGCTGGGATCATTTCTTATTACTCCTGTTCATGCATTCTCCACTCCAGTCAAACTGGCCCCCTACCTGTTTCATGTACAGGACTTTCCATCTCCTGCCCTGAAAACCGTCACATAGGCGACATCAGGAATGCACTCCCTCCCTCACCTCCCCCTCACAGAGTGAGGCTTCAGTGCCCTTGCCTCCTCTGTCCAGCCTTTCCTTTTCCTGACTTCCCCAGTCCGGGGGGGCTTCCTCCCTCTTGAAATAACTTTATATTTACTTATCTCTGTTCGTCCGGTATTCTCCCCACCCCCACTCCCCCAACAGTAGAACATAGTAAGTTCCTTGAAGTTTGGTTTTAAGTTCTGTACCCCATAGCACCCAGTACATAATAGGTACTTAATAAATGCTTGCTGGGGCAGCTAAGTGGTACAGTGGATAGAGTACTGGCCCTGGAGTTAGGAGGACCTGAGTTCAAATCTGGCCTTAGACACTTACTAGCTAGCTGACCCTGGACAAGTCACTTAGCCCCCACTGCCTCCAAAATTTAAAAAAAAAAAAAGATGCTTGCTGAATTTAGCAAGTTTCCAGCTAAGGAATCCTGATGCAGTGGAAGAAACAATGGCCTTGGGGTCAGAAGACCAGGGCTTTGACTTCCTGGTCCAGGCTCTGATACTTATGAGCTCTGTGGCCAAAGAGGAGTCATGTACCTCCATGAGTCTTGGCCTCAGTTTCCTCATCTGTAAAGTGGTGAGAATAATAATTTTTACTACCTACGGTTAGGGAGGAAAGTGCTTTGTAAACTGTAAAGTCATAGAAAAGTAAACTATTATTCTAGATTGGAAAGAAGACATCAAGAGATTGGATATATTATTTATTAAGCAGAGGAATTAATAGTTAGACATGAGCAATGGTATAAAGAAGTCATCAATTTTCATTGAAGACAGCTGAAGGCACAGATTACAGAACCAATCTACAAGTGGGGAAGGCAGCTCGGGGGTGCCATAGCGCACAGTGCTGGGCCTGGAGTCAGAACGACGTAAGCTTAAATTCGGCCTCAGACACTCATTAGCTGTGTGACCCTGGTCCAGTCACTTCACTTCTGCTTGCCTCAGTCCTTTGGAGAAGAAAATGGCAAACCACTCCAGCATCTTTGCCAAGAAAAGTCCATATGGTGTCATGAAGAATCAGACACGACTGAGCAACAAGAAATGGTTAGCAAGTGGTTAGTGTGGACAGGTCAAGGTGTCTGAGAGTTGTAACCAGAAATGTTTGTGGTGCTGGAGGTGCGAGAAGGCAAAGGTTTTCTTAGGAAGACTTCCTTAAAGCAGCAACTGATGCTGCTTTAATTTTTGAGGCAATGGGGGCTAAGTGACTTGCCCAGGGTCACAGAGCTAGCTAGTAAGTATCTAAGCAGCAACTGATGCTGCTTTAAGTTTAATGGGAGAAGGGAAATAGAAACAGAATTTTAGAGCTGGAAGGGATCTTTTCAGCCCCATCTCTTTTCACAGTCTTATTTAACAAGATGAGAAGAGTGAGGCCTGCCCAGTCAATGAGTGACCCATCTGTGAGAAAACCCTGGTGCTCTGCTCTCCCACTCTATGTCCTTCCCATTGCATGCACTTAGCTATTTTTCTTTTGACTTTGCTCTCCACTGGATCTCGACTTGCTTGTACAACAAATATTTTAAAATAATCCATGGGTTATAGTGTCACATCCAGACCCTGCCTCTTCTCTTCATCCTTCTGGCTACAATCTGCCCCCACACCACCCTGGGTGGTCATGTGTGTCTTCTCTGCTATTTCTCATGTCCAGATCATCACTGGAAATGGGCCATAGCCTACCAACACCCACCACATTCGGATGTATCATTAGCCAATGGAGACATGTTTCTTGATTTCAGTGAGATGAGTTTCCAGTGTTTTGAGAAAAGTTGGGATAATTTTCCACCAAGGATGTTTTATTATGGGAGGAATTTAGGAATTGAGCAGTGTGCTGGATTAGATGACCTCCAAGGTCCCTTTTAGCTCCAGATTCCATTAATGCAGTAATTAAAGATTGTTAATAAGAATACAGTTACTTTAATCACATTACAGAAGAGATGTTTATTACTGATGTACTATTGCCTATAATGTAGTATTTCTAATGATCTCCATTCTCCACATCTGAGGAGTGTATGAACTATGCTCTGAAATTCTGGGCATTTACTAGCAGAAGGAATGTTAGCTTTTAATTATTCCTTTTTGTTGACCGCTCCCTCCGTTACCCTCCTAAGTGCAGCTGCTGTGGGATCTAGATTAAAATGTAATTGGGAAATATTTAACAAAATAAGTAAAAATATAATAATACAGAGAGAAAACTACATGTTGAATTAAATCAATATGGGGCCCACGGGGCTCCTTCTGTAAGGATTAGTGGCTTCAGGTTTGACACCACTGCTTATACAACACCTCTTCTTTCTTCTGTCTCCCCTTGGCTCCCTTGGCTTCTCAGATACGGCCTTCTTCTGGTTCTCCTACATGTCTGACTCTTCCTCATTCTCCTTTGCTTGACCCTTATCATCCGTCCTCCTTACTGGTTCCCCAGTGTTCTAGCCTGGCTTTCTTCTCTTTTCTCTTGACATTCTCTTCCTGGGTAGCCTCACCATCTCATCTAAATTCAGTTATTATCTCTGTGTTGATGGGTATGAAATTGACATACTGAATTCTAATCTCTCAAACTCCAGTGGGATGAAACACCTGCTTGACAACTACCCTTGGATGTCCCATCAGCCCCTTGGACTCAACACATCCAAAATGGAACTTGTCATGTTCTCTCCTAGACCTTGGCTTCCTCCAACATGATCATCTTCGCTGTGAACCAGTCTCATGACCTCAGCATTAGCCTCGACCCTTCTTCCTCACTCCCCCTCTCCAGTCAATTGCCCATCTACTGATGCCACTTCTGCACCATCCCCTCTTCTCCAGTTACAATCCTCACTTTAATTTGGGCCCTAATCATTTCTTACCTCCATTATTTTAATAGTCTCCTGACTGGTTTTCTTGCCTCCATTCTTTCCCTTTCTCAATCCATATTCTAGGGAGCTATCAAATAATCCACCTAAAGTGCAGGTCTGGCTAAGTCGCTCTGCTGCCCCCAAAAAGTTCAGTGGATTCCTATTGCCTTTAGGATGAAATACAAACCTTCAGCCTAGAAACAAGACCCTTCCCAAGCTGGTTTCAATCCACTTTTTCACACTTATTTCATATCAAGCCTGGTCACAAGCTCTAGGTGCTGGCCAAGCTAGACAACACGCTCCCCCTGACCTCACCCCCTACTTCCAAACAGCTGCACAAAACTCAGCCATGCCTGTAATGAATTCCTCCCTAATCTCCACCTCTCATGGTCTTGACCATCCAGCAAGGTTCCACTCTAGTGCCATCTTGCTGGGGATGGCTTCTGTAGTCCCATTCCCTTGTGCTCTGTCTCTCTTCAGACTATCTCATATTCACAACTCTCTGTACATGGTCTATCTCACTGAAGGACAGGTGCTCCTTGAGAAGGGGGATGGTTCAATTAGTGCTGACATAGCATGGGGCATTATACAGAACAGGTGTTTAAGAAATGTTTGCTTAATCGAGTTCAGCTAAGGTAGAGGTTGGCTCACTTGAGCATTTAATTTGTCCAGCTCATACCTCTCACTTACAGAATCAACATTTTTCATTTCCAATAAAAATATGGTTCAAGAGTAAACATCCACTGTGTTGCTAGCAGTATGGTGGCTGATTTGAGGGACACACAGAGGGAGAAGACATGATCTTCCTTCAGAAAGTTTCCACTCCTGTTTGGGAAGTTGTGGTAAGAAGACTTATAAATGGAAACAATATAGCTAAGCAGAAGCATAGGAGTGGGGCCAAGTTAAGGCAGAATTTCATCACTTGACAGGTAAGAGTGGGTGCCCTAGACTCAGGCTGCTCAGGGATGGGTTCAGGAGACCTTCTTTCTCTTCACACTTTACTGGCCCCAGAATCTACTGCTACTTTTTTTTATCTCAACTAACTGCAACAAAGGGTCTTTGGTTGGACTGAGTGAAACAAGACTAGGGGTAGAGTTGCTATTGCGTGATTATACTCCATCTGGATCCAGAGTCTCAGATACCAAGCCTTTCCCCTCTTCAGCACTACTCGAGACCAGAGCCTAAGGCATCTTGCCCCTTCAGGATCTCATCCCAGAGTAGGGCTTCTGATATTAGTACCCATGTTTGGATTCGCTCACAAAAAAATCTTCTGATTGTGTATCCTCTACTTACCTGAATACAGAAAAAGAGGATGGAAGATTTTGAGTGATACTGCCTCAGAAAAAGTCAAGAAACAGTGCAAAGATAAACATGTTTGCAGAGAGCTTGGATTTGAGCCAGCTCATCTCAAGAACATTTCTTCGACAACGAAGAAATGGAACACAGATCTGTCAGCATTTGTGTTTAAAAAAAAAATACTTGCTTCATCATTAACAATGGAACTACCATATTTGGTCTCACACATCTCAATCCCAGAACTGCGTCAGGAGGAAATGGAAGGCAGAGCAGCTGGACCAGACTGAGATCAGAAAAAGGAAATCCATGCTGAAGGTGACAAAATATTGAAGACATTAAGGGATCAGTTCTCAAGATAGCTGAAATCAAGTTGGATAATCAGTTGGGAAAAAAATCACAGATGGCTTTACTACCAAACAGGCAATTGAGAGGACTTCAGTAACCACTGACTCATGTACTTTTTTCCTCTCTCTAGAATCTTTGAGAATTTCATGACTATACATATTTCTAATGGGTTTTGTTTTTCTTGCCTTCTCATTGGGG